GATTCGTAACCACTAGCTACCAGAACTCCTTAGTTATAATTATAGCATAGAAATAATTTTTATATTTTCTTTCCTTTTTAACAGTGATGTGATATTGTCTTTACTTATACCCCATATTTATCATAATTTTTCTCTACATTTACATGATATTTGATGGGTTTATTTATGATTAAAGATATGGGCTCTGAAGTTATCCTGCTGTATTCAAGTCTTAACTTTACCTCTTAATGGCTATGTATTCTATGATATTACTTAAAAACTGAGTTGTTCAGCTTTTTATCCACAAATCTGAAGTGGTATGGTACATATCTTATAGGGTTATTATGGAGATACAATGAAATTACATAAACTATGCCTTGAAACCATATCAAACACATAATATATGTTAATTAAAAGTAAGCTACTAAGCTACTTTTATTGCATTCCACCACTCATCCATCAGTTTGTCTTACAGTGGTGGCTTTCTAGTTGCTGTGATGCTGGAAGCTATGCTACCAGTATTTCAAAAACCACTAGTGCTACCCACCACCACTCTTCTGTCAGTTTGGCTAGTGTTGCTGTGATTCTGGAAGCTATGCCACAGATATTTTAAATACATGCAGGGTCACCCATGGTGGACAGGTTTCTGCTGAACTTTCAGAGTAAGACAGACTAGAAAGAATGAAAGACACACTACTTTCAAATATTTAATCACTGAAAACCTTATGAATAGCAGCAGAAAATGGAATTTTGAAGCATGATAAACAGCACCAAAATATTGTCAGATATAGGGCCAGAAGATGAGCCCCTAAGGTTGGAAGACATTTAAAATATAACTGAGAAGGAGCTGCCTACTCAAGGTAGAGTTAACCATGATGAAGTGAATTAAATAAAGCTTTCTAGACCTTCATTTGCTGTAGGAGCACAATTCAAAATGAAGAGAAACAGCTGTAAATGTCCATTAATAATTGGAACATGAGATGTACAAAATATTTATCTAGGAAAATTGGAAGTTCTCAAAAATGAAATGGAACACATAAACATTGAGATTCTAGGCATTAGTGAGCTAAATGGACTGGTATTGGCCATTTTGAATCTGACAATCACATGGTTTACTGTGCCGGGAATGACAAATTGAAGAGGAATTGCATCAAATTAATCATAAAAAAGAACTTCAAATTCATCATAAAAAA